CGAGAGAGACTTGTGTCAGGGAAGGCGTGCCAAGAGACGGAAGCCAGCAGACACGAGAGTGCTCACACGCTACACCTCCCTTCAGCTCTCTCCTTCACATCTATCTACTTCTCCTGCATTGCCACCTCCTCCCCTTCCTCCTCCCTCTCCTCCCCTCCTCCTCCTCCTCCTCCTCTTCCTCCTCCTTTCTTTTTTCCATTCTTCTCTCCTTTTTCATTGTCCACTCCCAAGGAACAGAGACTGGCCGGGTTTATGGTGTCTCTGTGCTGCAGCTTCCTGAGAGTTGGCTTCTTCTATGCTCCGTGATCACTGCTTTTCATCCTCCCTTTAGTCAAAAGTGCCTCTGCTCTTGTTGATATCATTCCCTCTCTACTTATGTTCCGCTCCTCTGCTTTTTTCCTCTATGACCCCAAAACAAACCACTAGTCTTACTGTGATTTTTTTTCCTTCCCACTTTCCTTCCTCAGTAAATGAGAATACAAACAGATGAATGAAGGGAGGAAGTCAACACAAGATAAGAAAATCAAGTTCAATAGAGAGAAAGAGTGAAGGAAATACAGCCAAAATGCTGGAAATGGTTAGTCAAATGCAAAGCCCCGTGAAGGTCTCACCAATAGAGTGGGTCACAAGCAGGGCAGAGTATCAGGGCTTGAAGACAAGGTAGAGGAACTGGAATATCCAGTCAATGACAAAGACAAATAAAAACATACAAATGTAATATGCAAGATCTGTTGGACACTATGACATGACCAAGTTCATGAATGGTGAGCACAGAGGAAAAATTTAATGCCCAAAGTGTAAAAGACATTTTCAGCCGGGTGGCAGTGGCACACGCCTTTAATCTCAGCACTTAGGAAGCAGAGCCAGGTGGATTTCTGTGAGTTCGAGGCTAGCCTGGTCTACACAGTGAGAGCCAGGACAGGCACCAAAACTACACAGAGAACCCCTGTCTCAAAAAACCAGAAAAAAAAAGACATTTTCAATTAAACTGTAAGAGCAAGTTTCCCAAGGCTAGGAAGGAGAAGTTTATCCAGGTAAGGATAAGAGGCATTTAGAACAAAAGAAATAAGACCAGAAAAGTACAGTACATACCATATTATAGTTAAAATGCTAAATACAGGGAACAAATAAAATATATTGAAAACTGCAAGAGAAAACCCCTAACCCACATATAAAGGTGGGCTCATCAGAGTAAGAGCAGAATTCGCAACAGAAAATTTAGAAGCTAGGAGGGTTTGGAGTGATGTATTTCAAGTTGTGAAAGAACACAGCTGCCGACCTAGACCACCATACCCAGCAACACTGTCAGGACTGAAGGAGTAACGAACGCAGACTGAACAAGCCCATGACCAGCAAGCCAGACCTCCAGAAGATACTGAAGACATCCTCCAGACCAAAGAGAAAGATAAACACATCCATGAGTCTGCAGGGAAGCAGAAGCCATGCAGAACAGTAGTTAAGTGAATGAGGAACAGAAAACCAAACACTACAAAAACCAACAAAATGACAGGAATTAATACCCTCTGAATATTAATGCTCCCAATTCCCCAATCAAAAAACACTAGCTAGAAGGGCTGGATTTTAAAACAGAACCTGTGGGCCTTAGGAATTAGCACGGTGAATTGAAGTGCTTCCCATGAAAGCCTGAGGACCTGAGTTTGATCTCCAGAATCCACATTTAAAAAACAAAACAAAACAAAAACAAACAAACCTTGGGCTTGGAGCAGCCATCGATTAATCGTAAGACCGGCCAGCCTGGGCTACAGAGTGAGACCCTGCCTCAAAAAATAAAAAAAATAGTAAGACTTTGCTGTTTGCTCTGACTCAGCATACAACAATTTAGTTAACACAGCAAGCAGGAAGCTAAAAAATAAAGGATAAACATGCAGGAAGGAGGGACCCGAATTTCTGATAACCGTGTGCTCAATGATGGTTGTGTCTCCTGCTAAAGGTGACTGAGAGAACTGATCAGACGGCTTGAGATTTTTCTTCATGAGTGAACTAAAGAAAAATGTGCATGCGCTCATCTGTGTGTGTGTGCATGTGTATGTGTATGTGTGTGGGTGTGCATGTGCATGTGTGTGTGCGTGTGTGTGTATGTGTGTGTGCATGTGTATGTGTGTGTGTATGTGTATGTGTGTGTGTGCATGTGTGTGTGTGTGCATGTGTATGTGTGTGTGTATGTGTATGTGTGTGTGTGCATGTGTATGTGTGTGGGTGTGCATGTGTATGTGTGTGGGTGTGCATGTGTTTGAAGGCTGGAGGTCAACCTCAGGAATCCTCAGGAATTCTTCACCATGTTTTTTGAGACCGGGTCTCTCCTTATCTGGAACTCCCCAAGTAAGTTAGGCTGGCCCAAGGAATCTGCTGTGTCTGCCTTCCCAGTGCTGGGATGACAAGACAGTGCTGCCTCGCCTGGCATTCTCCGTGGGGATGGGATGGAGACAGGGTCCTAACACCGGTAGGGCAAACACTTTACCACCTGAGCTTTCATGCTAGCGATTATTTTAAAATTTCTGGGCTGTGATCCAAAGAAAGAAGGAAATCAAGAGACTCCAGTCTTCCATTTGGGGTTGTCCAACACCTTTAAGATTCAACAAATGCGTCTTGCACATCCCAGGTCCCCTGTGCTTCTCCCCGCCAATCTCCCGGGTCTCCTCCTTAAGCACTACTCAACCTCTTAACTTCATGCTGATTGGCCCATCCTGAAATGGCCTCTACCACTCCCCGCAGTCCCCCATAGTCCTATATCAGCTTCCCACAAACTCCAAGTGCATCCCTCATTTTACCCCTGGGCACTTCCTCTGAGGGGAACCAGGGTCTGAGGCCTTACTTACCAGCCTTTCTGCTCAAACTGCCCTTCAGGTGGGGTTTCCAGAGCCAGGAACAGATAGAGATGGGGCCCGGTTTCTGCCCAAGTGGCTGCCCCTGATCTGCCACTTGCAAGGGTAAAGAAAAAACAGCCCAAGGGGTTTGCGCCTTAGGTAGGGCCTAATGGTTTTCAGGCCTCAAGTGTCTGCTTTCTGAGGAAGCTAATAACGCAAGCCTTACAGATAGTCCAGGATGCGTAATGAAGATGTGCCTGCTTCTTACCTCTGTCCGCCACTGTCATACATGTGTGTGTGTGTGTGTGTGTGTGTGTGTGTGTGTGTGTGTGTGTGTGTATACATTCAAGTTGCTGAATATAGCTGAGCATGGCCTTGAATTCCTGATCTGTCTGTACTTCCTGAGAGCTGGAATTACAAGTATACACACCCATATCATTTATACAATGCTGAGGATTGAACCCAGGGCTTCATGCTTGCTTGGCAAGCGCTCTACCAGCTTATTACACCCTCAACCCATGTGTATACACTTTGAAGATACATATTGTAATCTTTCACCTTTGCCCAGGAGTGGGACCTTGAGTTATAGGTGGATACATATTTGGCATTATTGGAAACTGCCGAACCATCATCCATAGTAGTTTGGATGACACTTCTGCCAACAGGGTGGAAGAACTATTACCTTCTGTCTCCACCCCCCATTTAAAGCCCAACTTTGGGAATTTCTGTAGGAATGAATGGGATCCTACCCAACTCTTAGAATGATTCCTGTATCACAGGCACCCTTATGACATCATCATGGACTCCCTTCCCTCACTCTTCCTGCCAGCTTCGTGGCTGGAGGAGTATAGACCTGAGATGATGGCTCCATCATAACCCCAGCCATGGAGGAATTTAAGGAACTGCAGACCTGGGAGATTTGAACCTCTATCTCCAAACATGGGCTGTCTGTGCGGGGTAGGTTATAGGCTGTAGAAGCTGGCTGATTTCTAGTTAATCAGGATATGAGGCCGTGTCTAGGGAAACTGGGCATGTGTTAAAAGTGACATAGTTATGTAAAGGACAATCCACTAACAGCTTTCCCCTTAACTCTTGTTATAAAGATTGTTAAATCCAACAAAACCCCTGTGGAAGAAGTATCAGAACCAAAATCAAAAAAGAAAAAGGAAAAACCAAAGCTCACACTTCCGCCTGAAAAAAAGGTAGGTGGTTCGAGGTTGGAGGTAGCCTGTGATCTGTCACATCCCTGATTGATGTCACCCAGACTGATAGCGGTCTTCTCTGTGGCCTACACCTCAGGCAGTCATGGAATTTATGCTCCAAACAGGATCCTTGTGTGAGAAAGGGGGTTGGGATGTTCACTGTCAACAACTGTCAGAAACCAAGCCTGTCTCCAGCTGGCTGGAATGAACAGCTGCCTTATCCCAAACTGGAATGGACGGAGATGAGGTTGCTCCCCTGCGCTGTCTTCTCCAGCTGCCTTGCTGACCTGAGAAAGGCAGGGACTGAGGCATGAAGATGGGTGTGAGGAAGAGAACCCTGCAAGAGTAGGAACAGTGCTGAGGGCGGGGTCTGGGTTGCATGTTGTCAGAGGGTACCTCACAACCAGAAGGAGCATCTCGTGTGTGTGTGTGTGTGTGTGTGTGTGTGTGTGTGTGTGTGTGTGTATGTGTGTGTGTGTGTGTGTGTGGTGTGTGTTGAAGTGCAAGGTACTAAAAGCAAAAGAAGTAAGAGTGATAAAGACCTCAAATTGTATGGACAAGGATGCTTAATATTAGGACCTGACAGGTGGCGTTATCAGGCTGCAGGTTGAGGTAGAGAAGGAGAGAGCAGAGTGAGCAGAGAATGCTAGCTTCCCATCAAATAGAAGATCTTCCGGGAGGCTGTGGGCCCTGTATGTGGTCCAGTCCAGATGGATCCTCTAAGTCACAAGGTTCTTTCTCTACACTGAGCAAATGTTCTCATTCTATAGGTTGAGACTCGGGGCACAAGGTGATGTGTGCTCATTAATTGGCATGGCAGAGAGAGAAGATCAGAAACAGAACGGAAATAGTCCTGGCGTTATTTCCTGGTCTCCTGGGTCAGGGGTTGATTGATCAGGGTTCCTCAACTTGAGAGGAAGTGACTGCCATTGGCTTCGAATCAGACCCCTTTCAAAAGTACCCCGGGGCTAAGCGGCGATACGCCTGAATAACCTTTTCTTATTTTCCCACCCTCAGACCAAGGAAAAACAACCACCACGGCCAAAACGACCGCCGCCGCCAAAACAACCACCACCACAGCTGGCAGCCAAAAAGATCCAGGCCTGGTGGCGAGGCACCCTGGTGCGGCGCACGCTGCTGACCGCTGCCCTCAATGCTTGGATCATCCAGTGCTGGTGGAGACAGACACTGGCCACGACACTCAAGTGGAAACGCATGGAGGCTCTGTGCCGGATGGCACGAGAAACGAGGGCCTGTGTCACTATTCAGTCCTGGGTCCGAATGCTGCAGGTCCGCCAGAGGTACCGCCGCTTGCGTTATGCCACCCACATCATCCAGGTGTCATGGCGCTGGTATAACTGCCATACCCGTGGCTTTTTTGAGGGCAGCTATGAAATCACAGGGGACAAACTAAGTCTGCGGCTTGACATCTTTCTGGGGTCACAGGTTTGTCGTATATCAGACTGCATATCCTTGCCAATAAAGAACTGATCAGGTCTTCTAACAGCTGGCATTGGGTCTTTGTGACACAAACCACCTGGCGTCCCTGTCCAGCAGCAAGTCCGCACAATGACCACAGACACAAAGCACCACAGGAGCTTGTTCTGTGACATCAGCAGCCTGTGTCTGAACTCACAGGGTCAGAAGATGTGAGAGCCCTGGACCACAACAGTGTCTGTGTCTGATCAGCAAAGCCTGCATGGCTGGAGAGTTGGGATAAAGTCACCAGGAACACTGCTAGATGGCAGCTCCCCTTGGCTGTCCAATATGCCACTCTCTCGTCGTCATCTTCTAAGGTCTCCCCACCGCATAGAACAAGTCTGACAGCCCACCCCTCCCAACCTCCACGTCCACAACCCTACATGGTGTAGCCATAGCCTTCAAATCCTCCCAGTGTCCTCTTGGACACTGCCAGTCATTAAGTATCTCAAGTAGAACATGCCAGCCTTGTTCCCGTTCAGAAGTTGGAGCTTGTCTCCTGTTCCCCTAGGGCATTCTCTCCTAAGAGCTCACTCTGTTCAGTGTGGTCTCTGCACAGACACTCCCTAGAGGGGACTCCTCCGTCTTCCTGGTTTATATGGCTATTCCTGCCCACTTTCTTTTGGCTCTAGTTGGTAACTTTAGAGTTACCTGGTTGCAAAGTCCTCATCAAACCGGAGGTGTCCGCAGACGACCTGTTAAACAGCCAGCTGCAAGGGGACAGGGCTCTGCACCCAGGTTTTGTAAAGAGTGTCACTTCTCCTTGTTGCCGCAGGGACTGATCGTCACAGTGTGTGTGTGTGTGTGTGTGTGTGTGTGTGTGTGTGTGTGTGTGTGTGTGTGTGCGTGTGCGCGCGCTTGTGCTTTTTGTGTGTTTAAAAATGAAAATCACTCATTTAAGAGTAACTATTAACGCAGTGCCATTTAGTGTGTTCAAATTGTTAAGCAGCCACCACCGACACAGATTTCCAAAGTATTTTTATCACACTACATAATCCCCTTCCCTTTTAGTGGCCATTCCCCACTAACCTCTCCTCCAGTCCCTTGTGCCCTTCAAAATGTATCCTGTCCTTATAGAATTTATCTATTCTATTTCATACAGTCATAGCCATACATCATTCATGTATGGCCTCTCTCAGTACACATTGTTGATTGACAAAACTCATTCACATCACAGTGTGCATCATAACATTACTGCATAATATTCTAGTGTGAGAATCTATCACACTGTTTTGCATGTGTTTGGGCTCTTATGACTAAAGACACTATGAACAGTTAGCAGTTTACAATCCCATAAGTCATGTAAAAGAGCTGGGGCAGGTAGTAAGCTTTGTCCAGAGGATGGTTAAACATCATTAAAATCACTTCCGCCGGGCGGTGGTGGCGCACGCCTTTAATCCCAGCACTCGGGAGGCAGAGCCAGGCGGATCTCTGTGAGTTCGAGGCCAGCCTGGGCTACCAAGTGAGTTCCAGGAAAGGCGCAAAGCTACACAGAGAAACCCTGTCTCGAAAAACAAAAAAAAAAAAACAAAAAAAAAAAAAAAAAAATCACTTCCAATGCAGGGGTCTTAGAGAAGAGCCTCCTACACTTTACTAAACAGCATAATTGCTGACCACATTCTAATGCTTACCCTTATAGCCACAGATAAATGTAGCTCTCACTCCTCATCAAAGAGGCTTCTTTTTGCAGCAGACAGACCATTACAGAAAAACCACAAATGTCATTTTTCAAATTATTGCCCTCCTATTGGCCTGGAATGGTTCTTCATTGTGGGTTTTGATTTGCATTTGCTTAGTGACCAAGGATTTTGAGCATCCTTCCATGAATACTGACCATTTGTAGAATATTTATTTGGGCAAATGCCTATTTGAACATCCGAAAAGTATTCTAATTAAGCTGCACTTTTATAGTTTCAATAAGCATATCTTTAGAAAACAAATACATGATTCAAGATTTGTAGTGGCATTCCTGCTGAGCTCCTGGCTTGGCTCCAGAGAGCAGCACCTAGACCTACTCCTTCCTTTGTTTAGCCACACCTTTTGTTTCTCTTACCTTTTGTTTATCTTATCACCCTATGTGAATCTTGTTTGAGAGTCAAGGATCAGAGAGTCCTCCAAGGATCAAAGGCCTACGCAAAACTTGGTCCAGGAAACCCGGAAAACAGTGGTACCTGATAAATCAAGTAATTTGCACCTGGCGTTTGGTCTCTGGGAGCTCCTTTTGGGTTGCTTTAAAGGTACAGAGATTAACTATCTAAACTGTTAACTGGAGTAAATAAATATGCCCTAGGCAAAGGGTTAGTGCTTCAGTCCTTCGAGGCTGGACCCCTCTGCAGCCATGATAGGCTAGATTCATTCTTAAGATGCCTCTGTGTCTTCATTCCACGGATCCGAGTGAACCCACACACTCATGTAGTGACCGCACAGCTACAAAGATTCTTTCCAGGACTTGGATTTGTGGTTCCACTGTGGATCAAACCCTACTCCCTAGGAGTAACTGCCCTCATACCTCAACATACTTGAAAATTCGCTCAATCAACCCAGTAAACATGGTTGTCTCTGAATTACCATTGCCCCTCCTTCCCTTCCTTCAGTCTTCTTCTTTTCCTTCCTCATCTTATTCTGCTCTGTTGAAATAAGAAACTTAGTCAAGGCGCACTCCTTTTATGAAATGAAGATGTGAGAGCCCTGGACCACAACAGTGGAAGATTTTTACTGGGGTACATAAGCTATAAGGGGAAGAACAGAGATAGAGTTAAAATGGGCTAGAAGGAGAACATCAGGAACGAGAGTTAGAAGGAAAAACCTCAAGAATGAGAGAGTTAAAGCTAGTTAGAAGGGAAACATCAGGAATGAGAGAGTTAGAAGGAACTAGAAGGGAAACATCAGGAATGGGAGAAGGAAATCACCAGGAAAATAAAGAATAGAAAAGGCAAAAGAAGAATAAAGAAAAGGTCTGAAGGAAACCATCAAGAGAGTGTGTATCTTTTTTCCCTTAACCCCCTCAGATAGAAAAGTCTAGTATGTGCTGATGCTGTGGATTTCCCTTTGAACCCTGAGCTATCTAGAGGCTGGCCCCCCAGGCAGTGATACACACACACACACACACACACACACACACACACACACCATGAAATTGGAGTAGGACTAATTGGAAGTAGGAAGGAGGGGAAAGTGAGGACAGGAGTGTGATGGGGTGAATATGAGCAAAGTGCAATGGTGTACGTGTGTGAAAATATCATGAAATTCATGATTTTGTGCGCAACCAAAAATATTAATTTAAAAGACTTCAGATGATGAGAGTGTTTTTAAAAAAATATACTAAAACTCCCAGAACGTAGAAAAACAAAACAAAACCAAACAAACAAAAAACTGTAAAACAATTAAAAGCTAAACCTAAAAAAATGGGGAATGCATATTCCATATAATAAAGACTTTTTAAAAATAGAAACAGAGGAAAATTCAAGATAAGAACTATCAAAAATTCAGTGTTTCTCAGAGTTAAATAAAATGAATTTCTAGCCAGGCATGGTGGCACACACCTTTGATCCCAGCCCTCGGGAGGCTGAGGCAGGTGATCTCTGTGAGTTCAAGGCCAGCCAGGTCTACAGAGTGAGTTCCAGGACAGCCAGGGCTACAAAAAGAAATCTCATATCAAAAACCAAAAAAATTTAAAAAATTTAAAAAATGAATTTCTAAACCAAACAACTAACCAGGTATAGAACACAATAAATGTAGAAATGTTCAATCCTGTCTCTGTATGTTTCATCTCATATTTTCAGAATATCAGGGATACAGGAAATGTTTCCAGAGGGGGAAACTTAGGTCCTATCTCACAGACAAAGGAACAGACAAAGACAAGATTTGAAACACAGTTTTTAAATTCTGAAGGGAAATTATTTTAATTTAAATTTTGATAATCTGCCAGGTATGGTGGCTCACACCTTTAAGCCCAGCATTAAACCAGCAGAGAACTGCAGAGCTCTGTGAGTTCCAGGCCAGCCAGGGCTAGACAGTGAGACCCTGTTTCATATTTTTTTAATTTTTTTTTATTTTAAAAGAAAAATAAAATTTGATAATCTTTTCTTTTTTCTTCCCAAGACAAGGTCCCACTTTGTAGCTCTAGCTGTCCTGGAACTCAATATATAGACCAGGCTGGCCTTGAACTCACAGATATCTGCCTGCTTCTGTCTCCCAAAGTGCTGGATTAAAGGTATGTATCACTACACCCTGTTTAAAATTTGATAATCTTAAAAATCATCAATCAGAATTGTAGATACAGTGTTAATTTTCAGACGTGCATTCTTTCCTAGGACCTGTCATAGGATGTGCTCTATGAAAATAAGGGCTACATCTGAGAAAGGGAGACCTGTTTTGAAGGACAAGGTTCCTGTCACTCAGTGAAGACCTCAGTGTACAAGATAAATCAGAAGCTCACAGGAAGCCTGTAAGTGGAGATGAGAAAACACATGTTTAAAACTACATGCTTGGGGCTGGAGAGACGGCTCAGCAGTGGAAAAACATTTGGTGCTCTTTCAGATGACCCCTGATCAAGCCCCAACACCCATATCCAGTGGCTCAGAGCACCTGTAACTCCAGCTCCAGAGGCGCTGATAAAAGGCTGCCTGTCACCCCGGGAATCCAGTACACAGAGGAATCCACCTAGAGAAGAGTAGAAAACCATGAGGAAGACCCTGACAGAGCAGCTGATGCAAATGAGGGGAGGAGGGAGGGAGGAGGGAGGGGGAGGGGGGAGGAGGGAGGGAGGGAGAGGGGGGAGGGAGGAGGAAGGGGAGAGGAGGAGAGAGAAACAAGTCCTTCAATTTACCCTCATTTGTGAAAAGTCTGAGTGTAAATTAGGAAAAGCAAGGCAACCACTAGCTCCAAGAAAACCAAAGGAAAGTTCTGGAAAGGCTGTGTACTGGTGCTGTACCATTTCTGAGTCCAGAGCAGTATATACAGTTACAATGATGTAATACTGATCTATTATAAAAAGAGGGCACTACAAGCATACTGAGGGCAGGGTAGACAAGTAGGAACAGACGAAGTCCACACAGAAAGAACTCAACAGAGAACATCTAAATTTGGAAAATATAATTTTCAATAGAGCGTGTTACTGAGGTTGTATAGTGTGGTGACATTTTGTTTGTGCTCTAACAAATAATCTTGCCTGGAGATCACAGTGCAGAGCTAGCCTCTACAGGCCAGGTAGTGGTGGCACACACCTTTAATCCCAGCACTTGGGAGGAGGAAACAGGAAGTGATATGGCCGAGAGGAGAGAGGGAGTGATAAAGTGGGATGGAGACAGGAGCTTGGCCCCTTTCAGTTTGGGGATTCCTAGAGGTAAGAAGTCTCTCTAGAGGCTGGCTGCTCTGCTTCTCTGATCTTTCAGCTTTCACCCTGGTATCTGACACCAGGTTTTTGTTATTAAGACCAATTAGAATTTGAGTTACAGTAGGGGGATGGGGGGGGTACAGTTAAAAGTGACTGAGTGATGTGGAGACTCCGGTTGTTTTCATTGTTTACTTAGGATCATTGAGTAATGTGAACAACTGTGTTCATGACGCTAATACAAATGCTAAAATTAAATGTCAGCAAACCTCGACATCAAGTCAACGCTGTCTGTGGACTGACAGACACCCTGGCAAAGTCACAAGGCAGATGGCAGTCTGGGGATGGGTTCTAGCAAAACTTCTCCAGCAGGGGGCTGGGATTCTAGAGGAAGTTCACGGGAACAAACGTGGGCTCAGGACTGGACAACTTTTGTAAGATTGTGTTGTCTTTGCAACAAACACCTGGGACACCCGGTTGAAAGGAAAAGATTTGTTTTGGCTGACGGTTTGGGTGGTTTTAGTTCATCCTTGCAGGACCCATTACTTCTAGGCCTGCAGTCAGGTACAACTTCATGGTGGGACGGGAAAGCAGAAATGCCTGCCTCAAAGCAGCCAGGAAACACAATTAGACACAGAGGAACAGGCCAGGAGAAATACAACCTCCAGAACATGTGCCCAGTGACCTATGTGTCTGAGGTAGGCCCCACCAGCCAAAGTTCTAGCACCGCCCATTGTGGTGCCACCTCCTGAGATCCGAGCCTTCAAAACATGAGCCTATGAGGGACATTTCATATCCAAACCATAACACAAGCCTGGAGCTGAAGTTTTTCTGTGTCCCACCTGGCCCGCAGTCTGGACAAATCTTTCCCACTCGAGTCCCCCAAGTAAACACACAGAGGCTTATATTAATTAAAGCTGCTGGGCCATTAGCTCAGGCCTACTACTGACTAGCTCTTACATTTAAATTCAGCCCATTTCTGTTCATCTATATGTTGCCACATGTTCCATGGCTTTACCTGTGTGCCATTACATGCTGCTCCCTGGACTGCAGGCTGGCATCTCTTGACTCAGCCAGCCTGTTCCTAGAATTCTCCTTGTCTGTTTATCCTGCCTATACTTCCTGCCTGGCTACTGGCCAATCAGTTTTTTATTTATCAACCAATCAGAGCAACACACAGCATACAGAACATCCCACAGCACAGGCCAAGGACAGAATAGGCCAAGTGGCACAGAGACGTCAATGGCCAGAATGCGGCAACAAAAACATCTTTTAAAAAAACCTAAAATAGGTATCAAGAACTGGTTATTTGCAAGTATTTCACTCACAGGAGTCCTCACAGAGCTTGGCAAGGAGCCATAGGCACTATCTCCCTGTTACCCAGGAGCAGGCAGACACCACAAGGCTAGAAGACGTGCCCAGGGCCACTAGGCCTGAAGCTCAGGCCCTCACCCCAGAATCACACTGCCCAAGTCCTCACTAGAGACCCCAGGGGGGAAATCCAGGTGACCCCACTTTCCATCTTCACAGCTTTGCAAAATTCAGATGGGCTGGGCAGATTAGAACGGTACCACTGGGGTAAGGATTGTCCAGAGGATTGTTAAACATTATTAAAATCACTCTAATGCATGGGTCTTAGAGGGGAGCCTACTACACTTCACTAAACAGCGTAATTCTAAAGCCTACCCTTATAGTCACAGATAAACGTAGCTCTCACTCCTCATCAAAGAGGCTTCTTTTTGCAGCAGACAGATCATTGTAGTATAACGAGATATGGAAGTCCAGGATCAGGTCAGATTTAATAACAGGAGAAATCAATAAGGTGCATTCATGACACAGAACAAGGTTGACGCTGCTGTCCTGCCCTTCAGCTGCTCTGACCAGCCCGAGAGAGAGTACGACTCTTCCCCCACAGGTTCTTAGTGGGTCATGTACTTCTGAGAAGACCACGCCCATTGAGCCAAACTGCTCCATTCAACGGGTCATTGGACCGAATGGCAGAATTCCCACACATTACAGAAGACCACAAATGATTAGAATACAGACTGACTGATCATGGGACACAATTCCTGCACCCAAAAGCTCAGGGAACATCATGGAAGAAGAGATAGGAAGATCATAAGAGCCAGAGGACCAGAACGTCTGCTATGACATTGTGTTTCCTAGAAATGAATGGGAAGCTACACCCGTGATACCTCAACAGCATAGCTGCCTAAACAAGACTTGAACAATGGCACCGCCAACAGATATGCTAACTTAGAAGAGGAAATCTTGGGGCCGCACCCCTACATAAACTACAGGCAATTAAAGACTACTGAGAGGGGAAGAACTAGTCTTTGCAGGGGATGAGTTGGTCATCCGACACCAAGTGGTCAGCCCTGAAGTCATATCCATACATGCAGCACTAAAAGGACGCAGCAGGTTGTATTTATATATTTATGTATTCATATGTGTTTGTGTGTATAACAGTAATAAATAAAAAGAGGCTACCAATTTGAGAGGGGGCGAGGGGGGACATGAGAGAGATTGGAGAAGGGACAAGGGGGGTTAGAGGGAAGAAAGGGAAGGGGGAAATTATGTAATTATATTTCAATTTAAATTGTTTTCAATTTTAAAAGTAAGTCCTTGTCTTAGGGTTTCTGTTGCTGGGAAGGGACACCATGACCACAGCAGCTCTTATAAAGAAAAACATTTAATTAGGTAGCTTACATTTCAGAGGTTCAGTCCATTATCATCATGGTGGGACATGCAGGCAGACATGGTGCCGGAGAAGGAGCTGAGAGTTCTATCTACATCTTGCAGGCAACAGGAAGTGGTCTGTCTCACTGGGCATGATGGCTTGAGCATATAGGAGACCTCAAAGCCCCACTCCACAGTGACACACTTCCTCCAACAAGACCACACCTACTCCAACAAGGTCACCCCTCCTAAGAGTGCCACACCCTTTGGAGGCCATTTTCTTTCACACCACCACAGTCCTTTAAACTCTGATGTTTACTTTTCCTATAAATAAACTATGCTGTTGGATGGGAGGAGCGATTTGAACTCCTAACTGGCAGCTGTTGACTTTTCCCTAACGTCCTGGCTACCTTGAACAAAAGATTCTCAGCCAGCAGCCAATTGAACAGCCCATAAGCCTGCTTTTGACTGTTTTGAACATTCCATTGGCACTCGGAGGAAGCTACATAACAGTCACAGCTGCTTGCTGCGGAAGCAGACCACCACCAGCTCCTAAAGGTGCAGCCGCAGCCACAGCTGGTTCAAACAGTCCGCTCCAAACTGATTGCTGTCACAAAACTTGCTGAACTCTAAAGGAACCTGCAACTTTTCACCCAGATCAGAGAGTGAGCATATCCTCTAGCAGCCTAGCAGTGGCTGTTCTGACTGATCCAAAAGGGGCAAATGTCATGATTCGTGTACATATGATCCTTCATTTGCATGAAGCTCTGCTGTGATTGGCTGTATAGGCAGGTTCGTTCGGATTGCTTTGTGATCTAGCTGAGACACAACTTCCTGGGCTGTCCCCGCTACACACACACACACACACACACACACACACACACACACACACACACACACACACACACACACACCAAAATAAACAACAACAATATGGTGTGGAAACCTTGGGCCCAGTGCGAAGCTTCTCTCCAGCAGCTTTCATGCCGAGTTTCCGACTCCCGTCACCGGCACAGCGGGCCGAGCGGCTGCTCTGCCGCGATGATGATGGAACAGCTCTGACAGAGCCATAGCAGAGTCACGGGGGTGGCAGGAGCCAGGACAGGGCCAGCAGTGAGGCCAAGGGAGTGGCCAGCCGCTGTGTGCAATGGCGGCCCAACAGCAGCAGCAGCTGGCCACCATGAGTGTAGCCTCAGTGACAGCAGCGATGAAGGCATGGCCGCGCGGAGTGGCGGCCGAGCTGGAGCAGTCTGGTAGCCGCAGTGACGGCTGTGACGGGAGCCACGGGAGAGTGACAGCGGAGACAGCGGCAATAGCGCTCCAGCACTACTAACGACATCAATGGCAAGCAGCATCAGCGATGGCGAAAGGGGCCTCCCCCTGGGGTGGTAACCGTGACAGCGGCCGACTGTAGCGTCAAGAGTCACCCCGACAGTTCCAGAGGGTGACGGTGACGCAGCAGGGAAGGAGGAGAGGCAGAAAGTGAAAGGAGCAGAGAGTTGAGGCTGAAAGACCTCAGCCAGTGGAAGGCTGAAAATGGCCAGTGAAGACCAGCAACTGCTGACCTGGTCACTGGAAAAATTCCTGAGGGCTGCCAGGCATTAGCGTGAGGCCAGGGTCTCAGACACCATGGAAGACAGGCAGAGAGTACCAGGGGAAGCCAGCCTGAACCATGTCCCTTCCTGTGACAACATGAAGTATTCTCCTCAGTGACTAGTAACAGGATTAGCCCTGGTGTGGGTCAGCGCAGCAGTCATCACTGAGCCAGTAACATCTCCCATGTCCTGACATCTCTAGCCCATTCCTAGCAGGAGGGTACCAGACACGCGTTTCCTCTTCACCCGGTATCATTGAGCTGGGAGAAGACAGACCACCTGGTCCATGAGTCACAGATATCCTTGTGATGTCGTGGTCATCTCCTCATTTCCCTCCTGCCCTGCCCCTGCTGAAGCTAAAGGAGCAATACCAAGAGGGGAATGAACACCTGAACCCCCGCCCTCCACCATGGTCAGTCAGGGTTGTGTAAGGCTCTGTTAGACTCACCTTCCCTGGGGTGGAGACTTATCCCTTGACAGAAGGAAGCCCTGGATGATGCCATGGGCTTCAGGAATAAAATAGGGAGTTGGGGCATTAGACATATCTCGGAGAATTTAGTCTTCACCCATGACCCAATGAAGTGTTTGCCTATATTGTTTTATTAATAAAAACTCGGGAGTCAGATATTGGGGTATGAACCTGCTAGATCAAGAAAACAGTGGGGAAATGACTAGCCGACTCTCTTTCTCCACTCTCTCAGATCGAAGAGCCTGAGAATCTCTCTCTCCAAGGCCCTCCCTTTCTCTTCCTCTACCTCTCTGTCTGGGCCCTCCAAAATCTGTATGGCTAATTCTGGTCAGCTAGTTATGGACTCCATCCCTTGATTCAAGGTTTAACTTTATTAACAGTCTCAGAGTATCGCTGTGCAATCAAATATCCCACAACAGCCCAACTACCATAGTGTTCTATTGCTGTGAAGAGACACCATGACCACAGCAACTCTTATAAAAGAGAGCGTTGAATTGGGGCTGGCTTACAGTTTCAGAGGTTTAGTCTATTATTATCACGGCGGGGACCATGGTCGCATGCAGGCAGACATGGTGCTGGAGAAGTATCTCAGAGTTCTACAAATGGATCTTCAGGCAACTGGGAGAGAGAGACTCAGGGCTTGGAAAGGGCTTTTTAAAACCTCAGAGCCCACCCCCAATGACACACTTTCTCCAACAAGGCCACACCTCCTAATCCTTCCATACAGGGCCACCCCCTGGTGACCAAGCATTCAAATCTATGAGCCTATGGGGACCATTATTATTCAGACTACCATACCAACCCAATTCTGATTGCAGAAGTCTGATCAAAATAAGAAAAAGGAAACACCAGGAAAAAAAGAAAAAGCAGAGAACAAAAAGCAACTGAAGGTAGGTGAGGGACTGGAGGGGACAAACCCCGTGATCTCACAGTCCCTGGACTTAGACAAGCCAGCTCTGGCCCCGCTGGACTGGTTCAGCATTACCTGTCTCTGAAATCCACCCCCTGAGTAAACAGCATACAGAGCACAAGGAAGGTGAGACCCAGGGTGGAAAAATGGGAAAGTGGACAAAGGTTGGCATGAGCCCCAAAGGCCGTGGAGTAACTTGAAAGGTAGGAGTAGACATTAATAGAAGCAAGGTGAGGGAGAGCCTGGATGGCTAGGACACTGCGCGACGCATTGGTGAGCAGCATCCTGGGCTCAGGACCGAGTCACAGGCCATAAATTCAAAGTGTCTTCCCTGTGAGGACCCTTTACTTCCTACACACAGAGAAAGGCCTTTCCCCCCAAGTCCCCCTGTGAAGTCCATGTGGCAAGTGTAATCCTGCATGGTAGATAAGGATGCTGTAGCTCAGAGGGTGAGCCAGCGTGGCCCATAACCATGGGTAAGACAAAGGCACAGGTGAAACCCCCCCTGTCTCCCCCGTGTCCAGGAAGAGGGTTGGTTGTTAGAGCTCCGTGTGTTCGATCGACAAATGCACTGGGAATCCTTGTTAGTTGCTTCCTGCAAAAACATGCAGAAGAAAATAATTCAGCTCTCACTTTTTTTTTTTTTTTTTTTTATCTTTTTTTTTTTTTTTTTTTTTTTTGGTTTTTCGAGACAGGGTTTCTCTGTGTAGCTTTGCGCCTTTCCTGGAACTCACTTGGTAGCCCAGGCTGGCCTCGAACTCACAGAGATCCGCCTGGCTCTGCCTCCCGAGTGCTGGGATTAAAGGCGTGCGCCACCACCGCCCGGCCTCAGCTCTCACTTTTTGACAGCCCCCCCCCCTGGCCCCTTAGTACTAGATTTTCTATGGTGTATACAGTCCCCTCCTCCCTAAGCATGGTGATAGTCTTCACGACTCCAGAATCGGCTGATGGGGCTCACAACCACTCACTTCTCGTCTCCAGTGACTTTGGCTTCAATCCTACCACAGTCATCCATGCCTGGGCTTGCACTATAGACCCCAGTTTCACATGTGTAATCCTTTAAAAAAAAATGGGTAATCCTTCACAGATCACTTCTTTTGAAACAATAAACATGGAGTTCGAGAAATGAACATGAGGCAAGAAAGAGCAGAGGCACTCCGAATCTTGTTCTCAACCATTAATTACTCAGTAATTTTCATGGGCTCCTTCCCTCTCCCCTCTCATGACCACCTTTCACTACCACTGCGGCCCCATTCCTGTACCCTCACCCTCCTCACCCTGCTGAAGCTCTGACACCCTATGTCAGGTGTCCCTCTCTGTGGCTATCCTGCCCTGCTCCAGTCGGTCCCTCTGACCACCATGGCCTGCCATCCTCCACACTGACATTCTTCTCACCTACTCGGGCCCCAGGACTGTGCCAGGCAACTTCTCCAGGTGAACACAATCCTCACCAGGATGCGGCTCCTGCCTCCTCACTGGCCTGCTGACCCATGCAAAGGTCCCCTTCATTCACCTGAGCACAGAAAGTATCAGCCTCTTGGTGTGACACGATCTGACTTCCTGCAGACCACTTCTCATCCCAAGGATATGATACGTGTTAGAGCTGGGAACTTGGACCCCTGTGTGGACCCCTCCTGTCTTGGCCTGGGTTCCCTGCTGGAGACCCCTCTTATGACAATGCCTACTTACCTGGCTTGACATCCTCACTGGCTTTGTTTAAGGCTGACTTTTTTGTCCAGCCGTATTTACTGCCCACCCTATTGAGGAGGAAAGGGAATTAAAAGGGGAGAGATGAGAAGAAAGTACACTTTTAGATTTTTTTTTATGAAGTAAACAAACAAGACACAAGACACCTGTGGAAGAAAATTCTCAGTCACTGCCTAAAATATGCTTCAGGGTCCCTCTCAAAGGAAGCATAAACATCCAGAAATCAAAAACAACAACAACAAACAAACAAACAAACAAACAAACAAACAAAAACAGAATGCTTGACACTGGACCCAAATGATGAGTGCAGCCTCTGACCTCCCTCTCCCTCTACACATTTCAAAAATATCTATTGCACCTTTAAAAAGAATGTGAGAAGGAACAGTCCACAGGTAACGGTGATGTAGAATCCCTAAAAGATAGAAGGTAAATGTGACACGACAAAGAAAGTAAGTCAAAGTTGTAAATAATATATTTTTAAAATAATTTTTAATATAATTGGGAAAGTGAAGAGAGTCCACGCTGGCCATCCAAGCTCAGAAGCATCGGGCCCAGGGGCTGCTTGGGTTTGGGCTGCCAATGGGCTGTTTGGACTCTTCCTCCAAGAGAAGCAACTGACTTGTCCGTCTCCAAGAGGACTGAGGCGCTGGCTCAAGGAGCCGTAGCAGGGTCTAGTGTCACAGCCCACCAGGACACTGACACCACATCCCCAACAGCCTACCCATCCCACAGAAACAGACAATCCAGAGGTGAGAAAGGAAGCCAAGAGAATGGAGGGAGGGAACAGCACACAGTCAGTCCTCAGCGGATTTCCCACTGTAGACAAGAGGGTTTGCCAGAGGCTTTAGGAAAACCAGACTGAAGTCAGTCAACTGACAAATAAGTTGTATGCAGGGGAGGGTGGGTTTTCACTAGTAGGAAACAAGGCCTGTTGTCTAGGCCGGCAGTCCAAATGAAGCGGTTGTGTGCGTATTAGAATCAACGCTGACTTGGCCACAAAATGATCTACTTTGTCCTTTGATTCTGATTATAGGAAAAGCAAATCCAAGATAAGAAAACTAAAGCTTCGAAGGCAGATGAAACCATACTTCAGAAAAGGAATACAGAGAAAATGGAGCTCCCACCCCAGCCAGAGGTAGGTGGTATAGGGAGGCCCCCAATGTTGGGGCGGGGGTGACCTCTGATCTAATGCATCTCTTGATCCACACCACACAGGCTGGTAAAGGCTTTGTTTGTGGCCCATACCATAGGGTAGTCATGGAATTAATGCTCCAAGCATGGCACACGTGGGAGTGAAAGGTCTGAATGAAACCATTGCCCTGAATAACCATCGAAACCAAGACTGTCCCAGCTAACTGGGGCAGCTACACTCCCCAACACTGCTATGAATAGGGTTTGCTTGTCCTTGACTGTCTTATCCAGAGAGGCAGATGACTGAGGTACAAAGATTGGTGTGTGGGGGAGGAAATGTCCCAGAGTGGGGGTAGGACTATGTGACACTGGGGGATGGTGTGTGTTTGGTGAATAAAGAGCCAAACAGGGAGACTCTCATGTCCAAAATTATGCAAGCGTGGAACATGTGTGTGTGTGTGTGTGTGTGTGTGTGTGTGTGTGTGTGTATGTGTGTTTGTGTGTGTAAGATGTGGGAAGTGAACAAAGTAAGAGTGAAAAATAGAAGAGAAAGCCCCCAGACTGTACAGAGGAGGGAGACAGTCTTAGGGTCTCACAGAGGGAGGTGGCAGGTTGTGTGGATTGAAGCGATAGGAAAGTGAAGTTCATGTGTGCAGATGGGAGGTCTGAAGGAAGAGGTCAAGTGGCCCTGGTGGCTATCAGCTCCAAGGTGGTTCTATAGAACCCAGGGCTCTTGTCCTGAACTGGCCAGCCCAGCTCCCTGCAAAGCCAGAAGAGGTATCAAGAGCAGATGTCCCCATTCTATAAATGGGGACATTGAGACTCAAGGTGGTGCATGCATAGCCATTAATAAGCATGACAGAAAGAGGTCACCAGAGGCCAAATGCTCTTCCTGATCCCTAAGAGCCCCCCTGGTTTCCCATCCGGAGGCTGAGGTACCTGAGGACTATTTCCTGAGTGTCCTTTCTTTTTCATGCAACCACTCCTCTTCAAAATAGCGGCTGCCTGCTAAGGTCGAGCTGGCAAGCGTGAAGATCCAGGCCTGGTGGCGAGGCACCCTGGTGCGCAGGACCCTGCTGAAGGCTGCCCTCAGTGCTTGGACCATTCAGTGTTGGTGGAGGCAGACAATGGCCAGGCTGCTGAAGAGGAGATTGCAGGAGAGGATGGACTGCAGCCTGAGACAAATATATGCAGCTGTGAAGCTGCAGTCCTGGGTGCGTATGTGGCTCACCCGTAAGCATTACCTCCATTTGCGCAACTCTGTTCTAAAACTGCAGGACTCTAGGAATCATGACTACATTTGTAAAAATCACAGTGCGATCCAGGGCTGCTATGAGATCACAGGAAACAAGATAAAACTTGAGGTTGATATCTTTTTCGAAACACAAATTTGTCGGATTTCAGACTGCATGCCTTTCCCAATAAAGAACTGACTGGGGTTGCTCCTAATAGCTGTCTCTGGGTCTTTGTAAGACAAACTGCTGGATGTCCCAGCCTCAGCGATGGGTCAGGAAAATGACTGCCGGCTTAAAGCACAAGTGTGCTCTGGAGAATCAAGGGAGAATGTCTGTACTCCCGAGGGGCAGAGAATGTGAGAGTCTCAAACTGCATGATCAAGATCTTGATTGATTAGCAGTGTCTGCTGGTTGGAATATTGGTATTGTAAGGTTCAGGTGTTGCATGACCAACTCCAGAGACCCTGCCTCACTGATGCCCATTTAAATGATGTTCCTCAAGTTGTGCAATATGGAGGAGCTCATCCTCCAACATCTGGATTTAACTTTTCCCCATAGGGACCTTGTTTGGTCTGGCCTGGTCTTTTGCACCTTCTCAGTGTCCTTCCTGTGGCACTGGATAGGAGGCAACTTTGGTTTCAGTGATATTGGGATAAAACTCATGCAAACAGAGTAAATGTTATAGGCAAAAGTATTATGGGTGGGGGAAGGCAGGTCCAGCTGGAGCTAAAGGAAGCCAGCACTGACAGAGAGGATGCTGGCTTGTCCATGCATGAAAGAGACAGACCTTGCAATGAGTTGCTGATATGGACTAGGGCCTAGAAATTTCCCATGGATCATGGATATGGCACTGTTTTTCATTTTTGTTTTCTTTCAATTTTTGAATGAGGTACTGCATTAATCAGGGTTCTCTAGAGGAACAGAACTAATAGAATGAATCTATGTATATATAAAGGGGATTTATTAAAGTGACTTATAGAAGGAAAGTCTGAGAATCTGGTAGTTGTTCAGTCTACCAGGTTGGATGTCTCAGCTGGTCTTCAGTATATGTCAGAATCCCAAAGAAGTAGATTCTGATGCCAGTGAATCTTAAGGGCAAGCAGGGAAAAAGCAAAACCTTCCTTCTTCCTTGCCTTTTATATAGGCTACCACAAGAAGGGGTGGCCCAGATTTAGGGGGGTCTGCCTAGCTCAAATGATCCAATTAGCTAAAACTCCCTCACAGGTATGTCCAGTGACTTGAAGTTTTAGTTAATTCCAGATATAGTCAAGTTGACTACCAAGAATAGCCATCACAACTACTAAGGGTAGACTTTTAAAAATTTTTTAGTTTTTCTTTTTTGTGTATGGGTATTTTGCCTGCATGTATGTATGTGTATCACTTTCATGCCTGGTGCCCTCAGATACTAGAAGAAGGTATCTGATCCGGTAGAACTAGAGGTACAGATGATTGTGAACCATCATATAGATGTTTGGAATTAATCCCAGGTCTTCTGGAAGAGCAGTCAGTGCTCTTAACTGTTGACTCATCTCTCTCCAGCCCCTAGGTATGGCATTTTTAAAAGACCATCTTCCTTGTATATAGTACATATCAACAATCAGTTCATCCTTGGACACATTACAGCCCTACCCTGGTCCCTACAGTGCATCTGGCTCTTCAGTAAGAGGAGAGTATAAAGAAAGACGTTCTGTGCATTGTTGAAAAGGGGAAGGAAGGGGAAAGACACAGTCACACATTCAGTGGATATCAGAATACGGATCGTATTAAGGCCCAGAACTTATCCATTCTTTTTCTGGGTTCATAGTCCCTGTCCTGTAAGAAGGAATCAAACTGAAGCCATTTTGAGTAAAACTTCCATTTTGAATAGGATGTCAAAGAAAGTTTAAGTTCCCAAGACTGAGTGACTGACATCCTGGTTGGCAAGAGACATGAATGTGGGGGCAAGCCATGCAGCCAGAGTCAAGTAAACCGACCAATGGGAACAGGAAAAGGGTACCACAAAAAATGTCCCTAGGAGAATCCCCTATCCTGATAGGTGGAAAATGTAACTTGGCACAGATGTTTGTGACTTTTGTGATTGGTGTGTGTGTGTGTGCTTAAAAGCTGTGTAGCGTTCTGGCTCAGGACCACAGTTGAGCTCCTGAGTCTGTTCTGCGTCCCCGATCAATCAGTTGCAGCTTGATTACAATGAACTTTTCTTTTCTGCATTGACTTGGTGTTCGAGCCGTGTTGGATCCAAGCAGTCCCCATAACAGTCCTACCTATTCACTCTGCCATTCATCACTCTCCCATCTCAGAACTTCCCCTCGCTGCCTGCTTCCCTGGAGAATTCTCTACTGAAGCTCTCTCTTCATTCAAGTTTATCTCTGCACAAAGGCTGGGGGGAGGGGGTCCTGATATGCATAGCTTTCCCTGACCTCCTCTTCTTGGCTCTAACTCCTAACACTGCTGCTCTGCTATAAAGTTCTTATCAGGTCCTGAGCATCCAACCTCATTGTCTACTGACCTGTGATGCTCTTCTTGGTTGTTAATTTGACTACATCTGGAATGAACTACAATCCAGAAATGGAGGGCACACCTGTGAGAGATTATTTTTGCTTGGTTTGGAGTGGGTGAATCTGCTTCTAGTCTGGACCTTTGAGGTGGGAAGACATATGCCTTTAATCTGGGCCACACCTTATGCTGGAAGCCTATATAAAGAAGAAGGAAACTCTTGTTCTTTGCCTGCTTGCCCTCACCTTGCTAATTCATGCATTCTTTCACCGGCATTGGAGCCTAGTTCTTTAGGAATCCAGCATATACTGAAGAGCAATAGAGACATCCAGCCTTGAGGACTGAGCAAACTACTGGATTCCTGGACTTCCCTTTTATAGACAGCCATCATTGAATCAAGTGGACTGAAGCCTGTAAGTCATTCCAATAAATCCTCCTTGTATAGATAGAGAGGGAGATTCATTCTGTGAGTTCTGTTAGAACCCTGACTAATACATGACCTCACACTTCATGGATGCAGAGCTCTGTGCCAGGATCTTGCTCAGTTCTGACCCCAAAGGTTCCAGTACTTCCACCTAGCAAGTCCTAAACCGTTTGCCTGCCCTGTCTGATCTCTCCATGGAAACACGAATATGACTAGCCTAACCTCTCTCCTTGCTTTTCTCTGTTGCCTTCTCACCAAACCTGGAAATTCCCCTGTGACCCTGAGGGCACACAAGGACCTTTCTCCATGACCTGGGAGAGCATGAACTTGGTTTCCCTGAGCTGTTTCTGTGACTATTTTTGGTTTTTGGTTTTCTTATTTAAATTTTTTTTTCATTTTGCATACCAACCACAGATACCGCTCTCATCCCTCCTCCCACTCTTCGCTTTGCCTCCCCCCAACCCCTTCATCCCCTCCTCCAAAAGGGTAAGTCCTCCCATGGGGGGACAGCAAAGCCTGGTACATTCAGTTGAGGCAGGACCAAGCCCCTCCCCACTGCATCAAGGGTGAGCAAGGTGTCTGACCATAGGTCATGGGATCCAGAAAGCCAGCTCATGCATCAAGGATAGATCCTGATCCCACTGCCAGGGGCCCCCCAGACACACCCAGCTACACAACTATCTCCCATATGCAGAGGGTCTAGTCCAGTCCCATGCAGATTCCACAGCCGTTGGTCTAAAGTTCATGAGTTCCTGTGAGTCAGTTGCTGTGACTATTTTTGTGAAGTATTGCTCATCACAGGAAAGAACACAGGATTTGTGTGTGGAGTAGGGGAGGGGGTGAGAAAAAGAAAGAGGAGAGAGCAGAGGAAAGAGGGCTTTGAGCAATGCCGAGGAAAGGCAGGGTACTGAATACATGAGGTGTAGAAAACAAAATGGGAGACTGTTGAGGGGAAGAGATGAACCAGCGGAGGAGACGAGGGAAAGGGGTGGAGGACAAAGTAGAACAAAGTCTAATGACATGAATGTATGAGCCTGCCATCATGACACCTGTTATTACTGATGTCAACTACAAAAACAATTTAAAAAAATAGAAAAGGGTAAATTAGAGAGTGGCCCACACAGAGCCACCAAAGGTCATGGCCATGTAAGTCATGTGACCTGCACTGACTGACAGACCACCTGTCTGTCACTCCTGTGCAGGAATGAGGGAGCCAGACTAAGGTGGCCTGGGGAAGGGCTGAACCTGGCCCGTGTCAGAAGGAAATGAGCAACACTTTGAAAGGAGAAGATACAATCAGAGGTGGCAATGGAGACAAACTGGTAATGCTCGTTTGTTATCAGCCTAGAAAACTATCTGACCCCTTCGAACAGGTTACACAGAGGCCAGGGCACCATTCTCTTATACAATGGCTTCTCTTTGGAAAAATCCCCATCAGAAAGAGTATTCGGACACAGGATGAAATGGCTTGTTAAGAGTTCAGCTGGGTCTGTGCAACATTTATTGGCCTCCTGAAATTCATTTAGCCCCCTTTGAAGATACCTTAAAATTTATGAGCCTGAATGTAGCCATTATGAGGCCATTAGTTATGCTCCTTGTGAGCTGCCTGTTTTTTCTTTATGGTTCTTAGTTGTTCTTTTGCAGAGCTACCAGCCTAAGTCATTCTGGGATCAAGAAAAATGGGCCTTGGCGGTTCGTGTTCTTGGAGTTGTATCCATGCCAGTGGATGCCCACACGCTCCAGAAGAGAATTTGACATTGCTGCTGCCATTGTTGCTGTTATAGCAGTGGCAGCCACCGATGCTACTGTTTCTGGGATTACCATTTCATAATTGGTTACTACAGTTAGCACAGTGGAGACCCCGGCAGCAAAAGTAGCTACCACAGCCGGGCGGTGGTGGCGCACGCCTTTAATCCCAGCACTCGGGAGGCAGAGGCAGGCGGATCTCTGTGAGTTCGAGGCCAGCCTGGTCTACAAAGCGAGTTCCAGGAAAGGCGCAAAACTACACAGAGAAACCCTGTCTCGAAAAACCAAAAAAAAAAAAAAAAAAAAGAAAAAAAAGAAAAAACAAAAGTAGCTACCACAGTTAGTTAATTTTTCATTCTATTGGGCATGATACATTTAATTCAATAGTTATATACAGTTCGATTGGCTTTGAAAATTATAAATTTATAAACTCAAGATCCATTTGCTTTTGGGATACCATCTTACAAAGACTCCAATTTGCAATAAGGCTCATTAAGGAAGGGAATGGCTCAGTTGCCTCTAGACTACTGGATATGGGTGGGTTAGGACTTCTGTTGGTCTTTTCTGTGTGAAACACAAAGATTGCAAGCCCAGCGCCACTTTGAGATCTTTGGCAGCAGTTAACTCTGCAGCTCACACACGATTGAGCCTGTATGATAATGAGTATTCAGAGATGGGTAATTCCTGAGGGGCATTCACCAACCTAAGACAGAGCGCCTGTGTGACCTGGGCAGGCGTCTCCATGACAGGTTAAGGTGACCTGCTGACGTCCCATGAAACCTAAGTCAGAAGCTCATTTTCTAGTAAAAGGGGGACCTGTAGGTCCCTGGCCCCCGTTTTGGGTAACTGTTGCCTTGCTTGCTGACCTTGACCTTGATATCCTCCCTATGCTAATTCCTTGTGGGGTTCCACCCTCCTGAATGCTTAAGGGAAGTTCTTTGTCTGTGTATCCTACATAATGGGCATTAACAGCTTAGATGCAAGATTGTAAAACATCGGTAGTGACCTTCTGCCCTCTGGGGTTCTCCCATTGTGCTGTAAGCCTGTGTTTAAGACCTCCTCCCTCCTTCAATAAACGACATTCGGCAAAAATAAATAAATAAATAAATAAATAAATAAATAAATAAATAAAAGAGTTCAGCTGAGAAACAAAGGTATCATAGATACAAAAGGACCAGTTAGGGTGATAGCAACAGACAAGGAGCATAGAAATTAGCTGAAGCTCTCCATCCCCACACTACCACCCTGTTATAGTTTGGATAGGAAGTACCTCCCCAATTATTCATCACTACAGTTCCAGGTCATCTGATGCCTTCTCCTGACCTTCACAGGCACACATGTGGTATACATACATACATGCAGGAAACACACACACACACAAATAGATCTTTAACAAAATGAAACATGGGAGGGCAGGCACATGTGGCAGGGGAGGAATTCTTGTGGACAGACAGGCCCAAGAGAACAGTGGGAGAAGCTTCAGGGGTGAAATCAAAGCTGTAATGAGGACCCCAGAAGTCAGAGAAGCCAAGAATGGGGCAAGTCTGCCAGCCTGAGACAGGACACGTGGGCTGCATCCAGAGAGGTAGCCGGTACCCAAACCTCCCGGGTCACCTCTCGCCAACACATACCCCAAATGCCAGACATAGTGCTCCAAGAGGTGACGTTTGCCCTGGGTTCCAGCCTAGAAATCCTTCAGCAAGTGTCCCCTCGATCTACGTTCCTCCTGTTCCTCTCCTTAGGAATGGGAATGTTCGGTCTGTGATATTGCACGTTGAAAGTGTGAGAATTGGCTCTCACCGTTACCCCAGCAGCTGCTGTGGAGGAGCCACACTTCCTCCCGAGCCAGAGCGCGGCCTTGTGGCAAGAAACTCAAGAGATGAGCATCAAAGAGAATGGCTGTATGTCCAGTAAATGGGCCCCGGAACATCTGTAATTTCTGTTATCAGAACCTTTCAAGAAAATATTTGAAGACCAAATCAAGATGGTGGTGGCTGCTGGCACCCTTAGGACTGAAGAGCAGTTCGTAGGGCGGGTCCTAGGTCCCCTGGGAGGTTCAGGTCAGTGCACCCGTGCCTCAGAATGGAGTTGCTACTGCTTGACCTACTTGGGGGTGGAGAGCATGGACCCCACGCTGCCCGAGGGTTGCAAGCATGATGGTACAAGGTGAGCAGGCAAGGCGGCCTTCATCACGAAGTGTGCAGCAGCCTGGAGCTCTCGATCCTGCCCCCAGACGCCCTACCCAGCCAAAAGATCGCTCTGACTCTGGGCAACCACAGAATCTCTGAGATGAGTCTCATTGATAGTCCAGTATCTATGATGCTTCAGAAACCCTTGAACCACATCAATGATTCCTTGCAATAAGTATTTGCATGTAAAACTATTTGGGCAAAAAAATATACTGTGTGACACACTCAGTTTGCAATGCCATTTAGATGAATAAATAAATGTGATGGAGAGGTGGGAAAGATGGCCTAAAGGAGGAGCACATGTATGTTGATGATGGATGGGGGAGCATGGCATTGTGGAGAAGGGCTGCCGTGGGATGGTCTTTCTGTATGCTGTGAATATATGTTGCTACAATTGGTTATCCCAAGGGAAAGGCAGAGCATAGGAGAAGACTAAGTAAGAGAGGTCAGAGGCCCGTATACCTTCTTGTCACAACATGAACTACTGTCCTCAGTGGCCAAGGACAGAATGTACCTAATGCAGCCAAACCATAATTCATCTTTGGTAGAGCAGATTCACACCCTAAGGACTCTAGTCCCTTCCTGGCTAGAAACAGATATTTGTTCTTCAACCAAAACCTGTGATACTGGGTAAGACAGTCTGGTCCCTGGGTCACAGTTGCCCTTATGACATCATGGTCATCTCCTCCATCAGCCATCCTAGGCCTGCTGGAGTCAGATGAGCAGCAACCGACGGGGGATGATCACCTGAGCCCCTTCTCTGCCATGGGCGCTCAATGTTGTGTAAGACCATCAGGCCCACTGCCCTAGGGTTGAGGGATGCTACTTGGCTGAGGGAAGTCACGGGCTACTCTAGAGGACTTGGGAAAAGACTGGGGAGCTGGCAGGGGGGCTGGCTTTTACCTGTGACTCCTCATTTTAATTGCAGAAGTCTGACGTTGAACTCAGTCTATCTAAGGAAGAGAGGCAACCAAAGGTAAGTGTGACCCAGGACCATAAATGAACCAGAGCGCCCCGAAACCCTGACCTCAGTGTTTGTAGAAATGGAGGCGCCTTCTTCACTCCCACTCAGTATTGCTCTCCTGTCCCTTAAATACCCTCCCTCCCCTGAGTGACCTGTGCACAGGACACAGGAAGGTGAGTCACAGAGCAGTGGGAAGTGAGGAGGTAGGCAGGGTTGCCATGGGCCTGCATGCTTGAGAGAGGTAGAAATGAGGGGAGAGAAGAACTTAGGGAGCTGTTATAGCTAGCAGACGTGTGGGCTGGTTCAGAACTGAGATGCAGACTATAATTCTTCTTTGTGAAAGCCTCATGAGGTCTTCGGGATCAGAAAGTCTTCCCCCTGGGTCCCCTGTGGACACCACAGTATAAGCAGACCTCACTTTATAGAGGAGGCCACTGTGGCTCAGAAGATGAGCTATGGCCATAGCTATGGACAAGACAGAGGTGGAGACAAAAACTCTATCCATCTCTCCTGTATCCCCATCCACTGAGCATCCTGTCCTTTGCTTGGTTAGCCCCATCCTCCAAAACTACTACACCATCAAAAAAGGACCCAAGCAGCCAGTAAGATCCAGGCCTTGTGGCGCGGATTCCTGGTGAGGCAGTCTCTGCTGGTTGCTGCCCTCAGTGCCTGTGTGATTCAGTGCTGGTGGAGGAACATCCTGCACAGGCACATTCTTAAACAGCGGCTGGCCCTGCTGAGGATATATGTCATCGAGGAAGAGGCAGCAGTCAGGCTCCAGGCCTGGGTCCGCAGGTGGCAGTGCCGTCGGTATTTCAGTCAAATGTGCAACATGCTCTGTGTGGTCCAGTCCCTCGAGAGCAGCATTACCTTCCAGAATGATGACATTTTTCAGGTTCAATATGGAATTGTTTCCAAGCAGCCAGAGTTCCATATTGAAATCCTATCCCTCTAAAGGCCTGTAGCACAAAGAATTGGCTCTAGTGCCTCAATAAATACCTGACCTGGTTTTGTGAGTCTCAGTGATTGTCATGCCATAGGGACACCCCCACCCCAGGGGCTCAGACCCTACGTCTCTTCCTCTCCTTAGGGGAAGACCATCCCCCTCCCCACAGAGCCTGGTACCTCCAAACCAGGAAATTCAGATCAAGATGTCTCTATCTATACAGAGCCAGGCATCCCATTACATAACCCTGGGACCATCCCTGTCTTTTGAAGTTGGAATCAAAGGGACTAAGCTTCATGGTCCTAAAGCAATAGATGAGATATGCAGCTTCTCTGCCCACTACCAAGCACCCTCCCACGGCACAGAAAGAATACATTCACCACCCCAGCCTCTAATTTGTTGTTGTTTTCTTGCCCTCTCTCTTCCAGGAGAAAGGTCAGACTGCTATGGCCTGTACAGCAAGGTTGTTGCAATAGAGATGAACATTTAGCCCAACATATTATCCAGCCCTCACTGACTTGCATACACTAAGCAAATATTTTCTAATGTCTAATCAGAACTCCTCAGAGACAGACATAACCAATTTCACTCAATACCATTCATGCTCTTGCCCGTCAGTATTCTTCTACAGTTTTATCCCACTGACCCTCTCTCTCCACCTCTGAATGAGCCTCGCTCTATCCTGCTTCATCCCTGCACCAGATGAGCTAAAAGAAAAGTCTTGTTGGACGGGAGGAAACCGTTAATCAACTCCTCTAAAAGCTAAACTGAAACCAGATGTGGTGGTGCACCTGTAATTCCAGTATTTGCAAGGCTGAGTCAGGAAGTCCAACCTGGGCTACTTGGAGGAACCTTGTCAAAAAAGGGGGTAGTGAGTAGACTGGCGACATGGCTTAGTGGATAAAGGCACTTGCCTCCAAGCCTGAAGACCTGAGTTCAATTCCCAGAATCCACATGTCGGAAGAAGAGAACTGATTCCCACAGGTTGCCTTCTGGGAGGCAGACTGAAGGAAAGGGTAGAGGAAGGAATACAGGAGGGATAACTAACACTAAAGACATTTTGAAAAACACACATGGAAGCCTACTACTCTAGAAGCTTTCTAAAACATACACATATACACATACACATACACATACATATATAAAGAGTTTAAATAGAATTACCCTATGATAGGGAAAAAATGCCCTCCTCGGGGCTGGGAATTTAGCTCAGTGGTAGAGTGCTTGCCTAGCAAGCGCAAGGCCCTAGGTTCGGTCCTCAGCTCCAGAAAAAGAAAAAAAAAATATGCCCACCTAGACAAAAGAGAATTAACAAAAAGCCCAGTGCTGGGAATGTGTTACATCTTTTGAAGTTGTTGGCAGGTGAGTCACATGGACCCCCTAAATATTACAGGAAATTGCCAATGCTCTTGGTTACCTCCAGAACTTGATGGTAAGACCCTCTTGCTAAAGATAACACATCCTTGAGTCACAGAACAAGGAGCTACCAAGCGGATACCCACAAGGAAGCATTGCCCACTAACAAACATTGTGTCTAACTTTCATGGGCTGGAAGGTGCTATGCACACTACCAGAGGAGAAAAGAAATCACCACTCTTAGCCAGTTGTAAACCCTGTGAGTTACAATGACTTGGCAAGAGATGTCCACTAGCGCATAAGCATCATGAGTAACCAACCACTCTCTTACTGAATTTAGGGCCTACTGCACAAGCTGAATCCCATGCCTGGCAGGCACCATTACCTGGGGCCATGAACCTATGGCTAGACAAGTCATAGCCTCTATCGGAGAGCCTACTGCTATGACTCTGCTAAATAGACATAGTATTAAACCGACTCCTAATAGCTTGTGGTTGTATCCCTAGACTAGTGTGTCTCTCAACCCTCATCAGAGAAGCTAACTGCTTTTTACAGTAGATGGGAATTAACACACAGATCTACAACTGGTCAAGAGAATAACAAGCTGAAGAAGGTTCAGCCCTAAATAAGACATCCATTTCATAGCCCCTCCTCCCAAGGCTCAGGCATTACTGCTGATGAAAGGCAGAAGGGTTATAAGACCCTGAGGTGATGGACGACCACCAGGAAATAGCGTTTCTGGACACAGCAGGGCATTTGCACATACAAATCCGCGACAGTTGAGACAACGTGCACAAAACCTGCATACGCTCGCATCAGACAAAGGGGAGGTGGGCATGAAGCCCCACCCCAAGCTGAAGAGCTATGGGCAGTTATTAGCTGCTGGGAGGCAGTGTGTGTGTTTAAGGGGAGGCCTGGTGAGTTGACTGCCCTTCAGTGAAGGCCACACATACAAGAGTATACTGGCAGTACAAATTGTACTTGACAGTGGTGGGAAAGACAAGGTTGAGTCAGTTGAGATGGGGAGGGGGATGGATCTGGGAGGAGTGAGGAAGTGAATATGATCAAAATACACTGCACAAAATTCTTAGAAAACATAAAAGAATGAGGGGAGAAAAGCTGCCATCTGACCTCCACATATACACTGGGGTCCGCGCACACCCGTTCACACAGAGAAAAAGAGAGGAGAAAGAAAGAGAAAAGAGAATAACGTGAAAAATAGAAGTTCTACGACATAAGTTAACTTTGAAAACTATGTTAAGTGGGAGACAGACACATATTGCAGAGTTATATAAAATTTATATAAAATGCCCAAGAGAGGTAAATTATAGAGTTATAAATAAACTAGGATCTGCCAACATCAGTGGGAAAGAAGTGACTGCTCCAGGTTTTTGCTGGTGGTGACTTCTGTTTTCGTTTTCAATCATGAAAATATCATAGAATGCGATCACGATAATGGCCACTGTGTTAGTTACCTTTCTGTTGTGATACAACCAATGACCCAAAGCCACTTATGGAAAAAAGAGTTTCTTTGGGTTTACAGTTCCAGAGGGCTAAGAGTCCGTCATGGCATGGAGGAAGCGTGGCATCCAGTGCCAGGCATTGTGGCAGAAGCAGGAAGCTGAAAATCTCATCTTCAACCACAAACAGGAAGCAGGGAGAGCAAACTAGAAGCGAGGCAAGGCTGTGAACTCTCAAACCCAGTGTGGTGGTTTAAATGAGAATGCCCCCCACAGGCTCGTGCATTTGAGTGCTTGGTCCCCAGCTGGTAGAACTGTTTGAAAAGGATCAGGAGGTGTGGCTTTGTTGGAGGAGGTGCGTTTCCCAGTTAGCTCTCTTTCTCTGTCTCAAGCTTGTGGATCAGATGTGAGTTCTCAGCTACTGTTCCAGCACCATGCCTGCCTGCCCACTGCCATGCTCCCCATCATGATGAACATGAACTCTAGTGCCTGGAACTGTCATTCCCAATTAAATATTTTCTTTTATAAGTTGCCTTGTCATGGCAATAGAAAAGTAACTAAGATACTCACTCCTGTGGTGGTATTGTGTTCCCCAAAGTATTGTGCACCCTAATAAACTTATCTGGGGTCAGAGAACAGAACAGCCACTAGACAGACATAGAGACCAGAAAATGGTGGCACACACACCTTTAATCCTATCACTTGGGAGGCAGAGATCCATCCGGATTTCTGTGAGTTTAAAGCCACACTGGAAACAGCCAGGCATGGTGAGTCATGCCTTTAATCCCAGGAAGTGATGACAGAAAGCAGAAAGGTATATAAGGCATGAGGACGAGGAACTAGAAGATTTTGGCTGGTTAAACTTTTAGGCTTTTGAGCAGCACAGTTCAGCTGAGACCCATTCAGATAAGGACTCAGAGGCTTCCAGTCTGAGGAAACAGGATCAACTGAGGAATTGGCGAGGTGAGGTAGCTGTGGCTTGTTCTGCTTCTCTGATCTTTCAGCATTTACTCCAATAACTGGCCTCAGGTTTGATTTTATTAATAAGACTCTTTAAGATTCGTGCTACACACTCCCAGGTGAAGCAAGGATAAAAACTCTCCATAACGTAGAGAAAGCAGAGGGACGGAGAAGGGAACTCGGAGTGCAAGCCTGGGAAGGCAGAAGGTTCAAGGGTACTGAGAAAAAACAAGACTGCACACAGAGACGCTGCATGTCGTGTTTAACCTACTTCAGAACACTGAAGGCCCAGAGGTCGCCTCTCCTGCCAGCCATTCTAAGTCTTGTCAGATTTACACACCTTGTCCGTATGGAGATTTGGGGAAATTGATTAATAGCTCTTCAAACTCTCAGAGGCTTTGGTGACCTAGAGCTATCAGAATCTTCACTGCGTCCAGGCTGTACCACTTTTCATATTCTTTCTGAACAAGATGATATTCTAATGATTGATCCAATAAAGTTCTCTATACCTCAGTATGGGGCCAGCGAGATGGTTCAATGGGTAAAGGCATGTACTGCCAAGCCTGACGACCCAAGTTTAATCCCAAGACTCATGGGGTGGAAGGAAAGAACTGATTCCTGCAAATTGTCCTCTAACTTACACACACACACACACACACACACACACACACACACACACACACACACATTGAAAAATAAAGAATACAATAATACATGGTAATAGAATCTGTTACTTTATATACTAACTTTAAAAGCTAATTTTTTTAAGCAAGAAAATTGATTTTTTTCTTCTTTTGGAAATTGTTTTCTTAATGACATAGCCTGTAGAACTCTTAGTATACATACTAAGTTACAGTTAAAAAAATCAGGGGCTGGGGAATACAGCCTAACGGTAGAGTGTATTCCTAGCACAAGAGCTCTGTCTTCAGCATCACACAAAACGACCCTCAGGCCAGATCTCGTTACTATGTACTAGTTTTGTTTAATTTAGAACAGGGGGCGCTGGAGTGATGGCTCAGCAGTTAAGGGCATGCACCACTCTTGCAGAAGATTAGAGTGAGGTGCCCAGTGCCCTTGTTTAGAGGCTTAGAAACATCTGTTACCTCAGTTCAGAGATACCTGATACTCTCTTCTGGCCTCTGTTGGAGCAGCATTCACATACACACATGATTAAAAATAAAATAAAGCTTTAAAGCTTTTTAAAAATTTAGAAGCCAGGCGGTGGTGGGGCAC